GCAAACATAGCGGAAAGAATAAACCTCAATGGATTGAGATCGAACTTCGTGGGGGTTTATACCGATGATACATTTTAGGCTGATCCGGGAAGAGGGTGCGGGGAGACCGCCACCTTCACCGATTTGGGAGGGGAGGGGGGGGGGGGGGGGGTACAATCATTTTAGGGATCACAAAAACATAAATAAGACCAACAAAAATTAAAAAATAAAATCCTTTTTTTGGAGCCTTCTAGACGGAAACGTTCCCTTGAAAAGTACCCCCCCCCCCTCCCTCGATAAAAGCTTTGGCTAAAACTTGTTTTTGAGAATTTTAACGACATAATAATTCTTATTATGTGTTAAAAGAATAATGCACATCGCTATATAGGGCTGTACTCAGCTATTGATGATATTAGTTGAATCCAAATGCAATATAACACATTCTTAGTATAATTATTAATCATGACAAGTTTCAAGATGTGCATTGACCCATTCTTGTGTTCTACATTTTGTTGTTTGACTTTCAATGATTTTATATAGAGAAGAAAAAAAATCAGGTGTGTTTTGGTGCGACAGGCCACTAACCATTGCTAAATATAAGACCAAAGCACAACACACAGTAGCTCACAATATATCGTGTTTGTGTGCCGACCTCTCGTAGATCTTTTAGGCAAACATTGCTGGCGTTTTTGTGCCTCTTCACGAAATTATATCATGTACAATGGGAAAGAAGGGGAGAGAGAGAGATCGAGAGGGAGAGAAAAAAAAGAAAAACTTCTTTTTATCAATACATATTCTTGACGCTTTTCAAGATAGAAATACATACCATGTGAGTCAAAAAAAAGTTTACACCTAGAAAATTGCTAATTATTTTAAAAATCATCTATGGACAGTAAAGTCCTAAACATCTTATAAAAGAGTATTTTATCCCAAATAATTTGGTATCATTTTTGTGTGGTATGTGTTCACGCTAGGATGAACATGAGGCATTGTTTGTGAGAGTGCAAAAATCGACTTGCGCTATCAAAAGTGATGCCTACAGCATGTATTTATGATGGGAGTAGCGGAGTGAGAGAATGAATTGAATGTATCAAATGAAATGCATTGGATATGCTTTTTGCAGAAGCAAATTCACACACACACACACACACGCACACGCATAAAAGTAAAAATTGATATTTGTTATTCGATATTTGATATGTGTGGCATCAGGCGCGTACGCAGGATTTTTTCAAGGGGGGGTTTTAACATTTATAAATCGGTCCGAAAATTTCGCAACGACTCAGCCAGCCGCTGAATAAGCGGGGGGGGGGGGGGGGGGGGGGGGGGGGGGGGGGGGGGGTAAGAGGACACATTTTTTTTTTTTTTTGGTCCCAAAAAAATCGCAATGACTCAGCCGACCGCTGAATAAGCGGGGGGGGGGGGGGGGGGGGGGGGGGGGGGGTAAGAGGGACACTTTTTTTTTTTTTTTTTTTTGGTCTCGAAATTTGGAAATTTGACATTTTGCTCCGTTGGGGGGGGGGGTAAGGTCACCTTTTTTAGGTCGGCCATGGGAATAATTTTTTTTTTTTTTTTTTTTTTTTAATAATTAAAAAAAAAAAAAATCCAAAAGGGGGGGTTTTAGGTTTTTTTAGGGGGGTTTACACACAAAAAATTTCCAAAGGGGGGGTTTAACCCCCAAACCCCCCCCCCCCCCCCCCCCTGCGTACGCGCCTGTGTGGCATAATTAATTTTGTTAGGGATGTTATTTGGATCTGCAAAGACCGAATTAATACACAAATCCCAATTGTTTTATTCAAACATCACATAAGCAACTTTGGCACAAGTCGATTTTTGCACTCTCGCAAACAATGCCTCCTGTTCATCCAAGCGTGAACACATACCACACAAAAATGAAACCAAATTATTTGGGATAAAACACTCTTTCATAAGATGTATAATCATTTACTGTTCATAGATGATTTGTTTACATAATTAGCAAATTTTTAGATATAAACTTTTTTTGGACTCACACTGTACACACTAAAAAAATAATGGTACAAATTTGCACCCTATAGGGTGCAGATCGCTGCTACAATAGCAGCCACCTGTAGGGTGCAATTTTGCAGACTTGCACCCTTAGAGGAGCAAAAGAGCACCCTTAGGGGTGCAGACCGCCGCTACAATAGCAGCCATGTATTGCAGACTTGCACCCTATATGTGGCTGCTATTGTAGCAGCGATAAGCACCCCAAATGTACCCCTATTTCTTAGTGTGTATAATAATGTGTCATGAATATAGCGCAGCTACTGTATGAATATACTCTACTGCGCAATACAAAGTATCACATTAATTAACCCCGGCTGTAGCGGAGCCGCCATGATAAGGCGCTCAAGCATTCAAGGAAAGGCTTCCTGCCAGGTACCTATTTACTTCACCTGGGTAGAGAGTGGCAAATGTAGATTAATGTCTTGCCAAAGGACATTAGTGCCGCGGTGTGACTTGAACCGTGAACCATGTGATCCACAGTCCCGTGACATACCCATTAGACCACGACACCTCTACAGTTACATTGTATGAACAAAATATTAATAAAAGAGAAAGGGAAAGAAAAAAGTTTGTTCTCCTTTAGATTTATTTTTAAGCTAAAGGAAGAAATGGATGGAATAGATTCTCAATCATTGGCTACTTTGTTGGTCCTAATTTTCAAGTTACTAAAATCTCCCAACTAGCAAAATGGTAGAATGAGAAAACGTGACCATATTCAGGTTCCTTTGTAGGTCTCAATATTCAGTGCGTCTAAAATTGATTAAAACTATTACACATAATCCGATACAATGTTGAAACTATCATTTTTATAGGTATCACTATATTCATTATTATTATCATTTTAATTATTATTATCATCATCATTATTATTATTGTCATTATTATCATCATATTTATCTTTATTATTATCATCATTATTGTTATTACTACTTCTACTACTATTATTCGTTTGGGCTACTAGATATACAATATACAATTTACATCAAATAAATGTTAAAATCCCTTGAAAATACAAGAAGCTAACTACATATGATCACACCTAAATCAAATCCTACGTATCATTTCAAGGTAAGCAGTAGCTATCTAAGATATATCACATGTTTTACATTGTTAGAACATGATCGAAACATTTTGTGGTAGATAGTGATATTTGCTCTGGCTAATCAGAACCTAATTCAACATGGTCATCTGATTCTGAATGACCTCTCATTTACTTTTGTCATCTAAAGTGGCCGTTCCCACTTAATGATGATGTTAATAACAGGATTCAAGTCTTTCTTCGACAGGTAAACAACAACGAGAAGAAATTGACACACTAGCGCTGGATGATGTAATTCAGAACAAATTTTGAATAGTTTCTTTCGCTATAGGCCTACATTTGTAATGGCCTTCAATTGTCTTTTCTCTACGATCCACAATGGTGTTGATGTTAATAACATGATTCAAGTCTTTCTTCAACCGGTAAACATCAACGGGAAGAAAGTAATACACTTGTGCTAGATAAGGTAATTCAGAACAAATTTTGAATAGTTTCTTTCGCAATAGGCCTACATTTGTAACGTCGCTTAGACGTTACAAATGGCCTTCAATTGTCTTTTTCTCTTCGATTCACAATGGTCATCTGCTGACCCATTCCCTATCTTATTAATGACGACTATTTAAACACAGGTTACAACCAGTTGCCATAAAGGCCTACGTCATGAAATGTATAAATATTCACTATCTGTGTTAAAGGTGATGATGGGAACTACTTAGTGTTCTCGACAAAAAAGATTGATAAATACTTTATGATTAATCAAGAAAACGGTATAACTAAGGAAAAATATTTTATAATTATTTTAGGGATGCTGATGATCCGAATACATGAATATCTCGCATAGTAAAATGCTTAAAACCTGAAAATATTGCCTTCCTGTGAGTGTGACGACCGGCCCCCTCTGTTTTGTTTTGTTTTGTTTGTTGTTGTTGTTGTTGTTTTTTTTTTTTTGGGGGGGGGGGCAAAGGGGGTGGGGGGTATTTATTTAATAACGGTATACAAATGATGCTATCTGCTAGCAGATAGGCCATCATATAATTGCGAGTTTGCCCCCAAAACCCTAATGAAACAACCTGACAAATAAATAAATGATTAAATAAATGAATAAAAGAATAAATAGATAAATAATAAATGAATGAATAAACAAATTATAATCATATACAGATAATTGAAAATTTAGAATTCGAAGTTATACATACCAGAAAAAAGGACAGAAGAAAATGAAAGATGCGAGGCTATTTATTTCTTTAAAGTCAACAAAAAGATCGCCTATGCGCATACGTTGGCAGGAGGCACACACTGCTTTTTTTAATTGCCGTGCCTCATTATGTACACCTATGTTTAATTAACGCATTCTCTATATGTACACAGGGCTCACTAACAATGCTGCTATTTAAGCGTTCAAGTGACAAGATAAGTGTTATTATACTTAACATGCTCGAGACTTATGTACGTGGTTATAGGACTCTTACGGGTATCATGCCCGTGGTTCGCACTCGGTCGCAGGATGTGTACTATACTGTTCTTCCACAATTTCAGTCCAGTGTGAACTTCTAGAACGGAGTAAAACTTAGACTGTTGATTCTTCGATAAATTTCCTGGAACTGCTTTTAAGGGTGTGTATTAATTTTGAGCGAGATTCGCGTGGAATATACACGGTAGGAGGAGGAGTATCTTGACATATGTTTACACTTGGTGGATGTGTACTAAGTTGATGCGATTAGTCCATGAACTTCGAAAACCGGGCCGATCTTGAATGGTTGATTCTGCAAAAATTGCTCCTACTTAGAACACCTGCTATCGGTGTATTTGAATGTCCTTCAGACTTGCCAGACTCTTGATGTTTTGCCTTTATTAACGCTTATTCAAGGAAAATCGTTTGGTCTGCTGTATGATTATAAGAATACTATATGGCTTTATAATAAGATAATCTGGACGATTCGATCTTCATCAGAGTAGTGCGTCGAATGGTACATTTTGTATAAATGTTATTATGCTGCGTTCAAAATAGCGGTGAATGTTGTATTGAAAGCGATCGAAGAATCGTCATTACCAACTATAACATTGGATCGCAGGTGATTGACGTTGATCTTACACAAGCAAAACATAAGGACATACTTATGGGGCATTGACGGTGAAAATCCTTTCTTCAATTGAAAATATCGAATGATATACAAAGTATTGCTTTGCTCCGTGAAACTGGACGGTGAATTTATAGTGGAATGAAATTACAGATTTGCCATTTCGTCGATTCTGACTTCGGATTGTATACGTCTTGTTTTTATGCGATTTTGTATAACTCATGGTACCTAGTGAGACTTGTCTTTGCATTAGATAGCATGGACATGAAAAATGATGTCATGAAGTTCATGCTCCAGTCCTTTGAAGAGATTTATATTTCATGACCTGGAGGAGTAGGCTTTTAAAGAAAGCTATCACCATGCCGACCAGAAAGCTTCGAGTAAGAGAAATGGTATGTTCTTGAAATAAGAGGATATTTCCTTAATCTAAAATGTTTCAATAATAATAATAATAATAATAATAATAATAATACTAATAGTGAACATTTATAATGCGCCATGTCTGTCCAAAATGACACTCCTGGCGCAGTTGTGTGGAAATTGTAAGTTAAATAATTATAAAATCGTCAACGTTTTGTCTTTGAAGTGGTCGAATTATTTATATAAACAAATTGGAGCACATTTTGGAAAAGTTCACCTTTGATGATGGTCCAATAGCTGCACATTGACTGATCAACATTCACATCCAAGACTTTTTACATTTGTTGTAACTTTCTACGCGCGACTCTTTGAGGCCCCTCTAAAGTGTTGGGAACCCCCAAAATTTGATGGCAAAATTTCACTTAAAATTGTATCATAATGTGATAAAGGCCGTGGAATATTGATGAAAGAATACAACATTTAGACAAATTATGTATTCTTTCATTAATATTGGTCTACAAACACGTTTTTTTTGTGGGGGGGGGGGTTGCTGAAGTGTTTCTTAAAGGGACTTGGTAACATTGTAAAGAGGAGAGAACATGGTGTGCTAAGGCAGACTTCAATGCAAGATGTACAATTAAAAATAATCTGAAAGTTTGAGTGAAAACAGACCATTATTAATGATACAAATTGAGAAAAACTGATATGATCGATTCCTTAATTCTCCCAACTATATTATTAAAATTTAATTACATTTTAAGTGAATGTAAATTGTCACAAAGCAATAAATTGGCTCTAAATACCATTCCAGACATTTAAGTGTTGAAAGATTTGTAATAGCCTGTTTTAAATACCGGAGTGTTGGCTCAGTCAGTAGAGCGCCCGCCTCACAACCGGGAGGTCGTGGGTTCGAACCCCGGCCGCGTCATACCAAAATACGTTAAAAGATGGGAGTTGTTGCTACCCTGTTTGGCGTTCAACAATAAGGGATAGAGCAACGTCGATCTGGCGCTGCTCAGTGGCTGTCGGGCTTACGATCAATTGGGCAAAATGAATTTCCGTTTCGGTTTAATAAAATTTGGAGTGGACTATTAGGCTATTATTATTTTTTTTTTTTTTTTTTTTTCATGGAAAAACGGTTGGGAAAATTCAAAAAGGTTGGGAAAATTTTCTGCTAATCACTGTTAGAGGGTGTTGCATAGTAACGCCTTCAAAGAAAACCATAGATATCTTTGTGGTTTGAGAATTTGTTCAGGATTTTCTGCATGTCAGAGGGTTAGTGCAGTAGAAGGAATATAATAAGTAACATTTTATACAAACATTTAGTAATTTTTTCATCAACCTTCAACGATGTTACCGAGTCACTTTACATGACATACTTTTTCACATTATGATACAATTTAAGTAAAATTTTGACAAATGTTTGGCGATTTTGGGGTTCCCAACACTTTAGAGGAGCTTTAACATTAGCTTCTACCAATTGAAAAGTCTCTAAATATATTATGTATAGGGTACCTACTTTTATTTCATTTTGTTAAATGCAAGTCCGAAAAGTAGGCCTAAAGTTTTGAATTATTTTCCTCATCTTTTCACGAAGAGTTCGGAAAGCTGGTACGTTTTAAAAAAAGAATCCAATGAACGAAATAATAATTGTTCATAAATTGTATATGAAATATTTTGTTCGTTTCATCAAGGCAGCCAGGTATACTATGTTGATTTATATTCAAGCGCTAGTATTTATGCATCGCGAAGACATCTGAAGCAAAATATGAGCATGGGAAAGTATTGTAGTTTATGATTGACATAACTGGTACAACTCTCCCTTTTAGCTTAACTTATGATTATAACATCAGCATGTTTTAAAGTGCTATTTCTTACCAGCCTACCGGTTCTTGATTCCACTAACTTTAGTCCCACCATTGAAGCTGTGGGGGTTCTAGGGTAATTCATGCTCCCCAGCAAAAGATAATTTTTACAATGTGTTAACTTTTTGTTAGGGTTTTTTCATTATAATTTAAAAAAAAATCTTTTGTTTCATGTCAATTTCTCTTCAAAAAAGGGCACCTGCAACATGTAGGAACATTATTATTGTTGTCATCATTATATTTATTGTTATTATTAATATTACCATCTTAATCTCTAAAAGAATTATTATCATCATTTCTACTACAATTATTATTATTTTAATTGTTCTTATTATTGTCATCATTACTATAATTATTATTATTATTATTATTATTACCATTATTATCCTTATTATTATCATCATTATTATTATCTTTATTATTATTACTAGGCCTATCATTAATATTATGGTTGTTGGTATTTTAAATGGTTATTTCTAATATCATGATTATTGTTATTATTATTACTATTATTATTATTACTATTGGTAGTAAAATTTGTCAGATATCTTCCCAACTTGTTCTTCCTGCCGGAATGGATTCCTCATTGATTATTGACGGGATCGAATTGAAAATACTTGATAATAAAATGCGACTTCCAGAGATGGTCGTCAGATATCCAAACCTACCATTACCAAGTCCTGCAGGCAAACATCGTTATCACCAAGACAATTATTTAGTTATTCCCTTGGAAACCGAGACTATTAGCGATGGCCATTATCGGGGATGGGCGAGACAGTATTTAAACAAGGTCGCCTGTTATAAAAAATGGTTTCACGGTATCGTTGGTATGTTATCAAGACTTCGAGTGGGCCCTATAAAATAAAAGGATACACAAAGCCCAACCCCACTGACCCCAGCAACGCAATTAAGACTGTACAAAGTCAATAATTACCCATTTCGCGGTCTCTAATCTGGCTGTTTGGCATACTTGTCGTTTTATTTTCTATATCTTTATTTTTATCTTATCACGATATGAAAAATAGTAATAACGAGTCGGATTTGGTTGGTTTTCATTTTATTCTATTTGCCCTCGTAATCCAAGAAGGAGGGCTGGCCAGTTCAATACATAACTTATTATTGTGTGGTTTTGATTCCTACAAGGTACGATTATATCGCAGATTATTAAATCTTCCCAGATTGGTAGTGATATCAATATTAGGGTGCGCCATTTCAAATACCTTCATAATTTTATAAATATAGTATGTTCCACCCCATTTCTGAGAGTTATTAAGGAGTCAAAGACTTACGGGTTATAGGAATTTCACATTCCTTTTTTTTCTTCCAGGCAACTTCGAGAGGTGTAGCAGGGGAGTCAATTTTATTCTGTCATACTTTGTATCCTATGTGCCATTCTATTGTATCTTCTATTATATGTTTGAAATGCCAAATAAATAATAATAATAGTAATAATAACATTTTCACTAAAAAGAGATATATTGGAGATTATGACTCCCCCATTCCCAACCCCTTTTCCGCACTAAGAGTCAATTCGGGCTTACGGGATCCATAGTCATAAAAAAGGCAGAAAATACTTTCTTATTCATTCTGACAATGTACGCTATTCGCAACTTTCTCAATGATGAGTGATATGTTTATATCGTTAGAAAAAATAGAAAAGAGCCCTTGCACACCATTTATCCATCATGCCCATTTCAAATTTAAAGCCTAGCCTTTTCTTGATAATCAGTTTGCCCTTTTTGTTTGTACTCAACTGAAGCAATACAGCCGTCCTCATTAATATTTTACAAGTGTTTAAAGAACCCTCAGTGATTTTAATGGACTTGATGGTATTTAATAGGTACAGTTTTTCTCGGAACCCTGTTGGCCCGAATTCACAAAGCAAGGTTTGACCTCAAACCTCCTTTTGTTTCGCCAAACCTCCTTTTGTTATTTACAAATGGTTTGTAAATAACAAAGGGAGGTTTGGCGAAACAAAAGGAGGTTTGAGCTCAAACCTTGCTTTGTGAATTCGGGCCATTATGTTTTATTAAAGATATGGACCGGTAGTGGTAGAATTACGGTTCAAGGGTTTGGGTGCAAAATATCCATTCAATATTGTTTAAATATTGCCTCCAGAGTTTAGATGGCAATACTTCAACCTAAATTCGCAAAAAAAGCAGAAATATATGCCCAAATGTCCAATGTTGAAGTGCATTCGCAATATCTATCCTGGTCAGTGAGATCGATATGAAAATATATCAATTAGTAGGCGGTTTCCCGGCAAAGTTCGTATCATCACGTATTAGTTAAAACATATTCTTTCACATGATAGGTAATAACAGCTTCCATTTCATTTTTTGAGAGGGGGCGTTTCCAAAACTGATCTATACCTTTAAGACATTACAGACCTATTATTCATAATAATTATTTTGAAGCACATTAGAAATTGTGATAAAATTGCGATAATGTCTTTATCACAACTATTTCAATTCAGTCTCTGTCAGGCGGACTGTTTTTTTCCTTCTCTTTTTCTCTCTGTTTCCTATTTTTCTCTAATCCTCTTTTATACTTTCCTTCTCGTACACATTCTCAACAATGTTTCTTTACTATTATTCACCCTCTCTCTCTCTCTCTTTCTCTCTCGGTTCCTCTCTCTCTCTCTTTCTCTCTCAGTTCCTCTCTCGCTCCCTCGCTCTTCTTCTCTCTTTCCCTCTCTCCTCTCTCTATTTCTTTTTGTTTTCATTACACAGTGTCAAACTCTTTTAAAAAGTTTGTTATTTGATTTGATTTTCTTCTGCATTCATATAAGTACACAATTTGTCGGTAACAATAATGGCTTGATAATACGACAGCCCCAGACAAAACTCATGAAATAGATTAACACATTTATTAAAAAGAAGATGGACAATTACGTCTTCCAAAATTAAGAACGACACAAGGTCAATTTTCATTGTCTTTTGTGGGCAGTGAATTTTGGAATAGATTACCTGTTGATATCAGATTGACAAGGTCTAGAAATAGGTTTCGGAATCGTGTTACAAGTCATTTTGTTGAACAAGTCATGAATGAAATATCAAGTAAACACAATTCATATTTCATATTTTACATTATTAGTTTGTATATTGTAAGACATTGTTGAGTACTGAGTTTTTAAATATTTTAAGTATCGATTGTAAAAGTAAATT